ACATATTTTCCCAAAACCTGAAAAGATTTCAATGCCAGAGACGAGCAGTTTCTAGATTTGTCATCCAATATTTGTTCATTGTCCACATCCTTTGTGTGTATTTAAACACAAATAGATTCATTCAGTATGTGTACACCAATGTTTTCTTCTTGTGTTGTCAAATGTTTCAAACGAACTAAAATGCAGATGCAACAGTGAATATCACAAAAATAACACGCATATGTAACAAGTCTACCTTGAATCTTGGTGTCTGCTGCACTGATTTTGAGTCCGCATAAAGTCACCATTTTGACCATGTTCCTTCTAACAGGAAGGCCCTCTGACAGAGCCAGGCTTGGGAGAAGCAGCCGTCTACAGGGCCACGTGGGAGGTGAGGGGCAAAGAGAAAGTAGAGACAAACAGTTACGTGGAACGTGGTGCTCAGAGTGCTCATTATGACGAGCTGCCCACCACCTATAGCACTATAATTAAAGGAGAATTCAAGGTCACCTGATTCAGCTCTAACCAAATCTGAGATTTAGATTTTTATTGCTGTCAGATTTCTTGAAAACAGACAGGTTCAGTGCAACCAGCTCTGGAAACCTTTGAAAGTTGGTCTCATACTAATACACTAGACTGAGGTATAATCTGGCACGAAATGAATGATCAACTGGAATTTGGATTTAATGAAGAGATTCGAGTCTCTCCTCCAATAGAAAGCTGACATTGCTCTTCTGTGTCAGTGAACACAGCAAGTTATTCAGCTAACAGCTGCAGTTCTGTCGTGTTTAAACGCAGTCTAGTCTAAAGAGCTTTGAAAGAAACTGACTGGATGTCTTTAAGTTTCCTGATTTCATCTCTCATCCAAGAGGCTTCTTCAGTTCCTCTGGGAAGAGAAATCCAGTCACTTCCATGTTCCTTAAACTAGTATAACCTGGATGACAGAACATACACTGACAAACACGCAGTCTAGTTCGTTCAAGTATAAACATGTTTATGTGAGAAGTCATGTCAGAGCTGCCACAAGCTTCAGACTACAAGGTGACATGTGGGTGAAAAAGGACTTTTACAACTTCATTCATGTTACATTAGCAATTCGCTGATAGGCTTTCAAATTAAATGTCAGAATCCACACTTGTGTGAACGAACCATGAAAAAACAGCCATTCGATATTAAGTAGATATGCCAAAGTGCAACCAGGTGGTACGTGATACTGGAAGCTGCCTCTGTGTTGCTTTAATATTCGTTAATGACATTGACTGTTAAATTCTAGAATAATAGAAAAAGTAGCTACTGAAAATACATCTTTATAAGAAGTACTATAAGAGTTTTGTTCCCAAAACATTCTCTGTAAAATGAACCAAAACGACAGCACCACAGTCCGAGGAAGCCGGAGGTTTCTTCCTGTTAAGATGGAGTTTTTCCTTCCCGCTGTTGCCAAAGTGCTGCTCATAGGGGGTCACATGATTGTTGGGTTTGCCTCTGTATGTAGGGTCTACCTTACAATATAAAGCACCTTGAGGCGACTGCTGTGATTTGGTGTATAAATAACATTAAATTGGATTGAGCCACTGTTATAGCTCAGGAAGGCTGTCAGACTTTAACATGTTGAATACAAATGTTTGTAACTTTGAACTCTTTTGTTTTGTTGTACATGTATTTTGCTGAAGTGCAGGCATCTCACCAACACTAACTTCTTTCTCCTTTTGTCTCATATTTTATTTGCCAACAGATGTTTCGGAAAAAAGCATCTTCCTCCTTGAGAATGAGAAGGATAACAGAAAGCACTAGATGTAATGATTTTCTTTTCTCTACTCTATCGAACAGGGATCACATTCAGTGTTGTCAGTAGAAACCATACTAATTTGAATGCAACAGAAAAACTGTACGTTTTGCTGCAAATCCTTTGACATACTTTCAGTTTATTGCTGCTTTGTAGAACTTGTGCCTGGAAGTGGTGACCGTGCACCAGGAAGCTCCCTGCCAACCACCATTACTTTAAAAGAAGAAGAGACGCTACCAGTTTCCATGTTTTACCAGTTATAAATACTGTGAGCAATATTGAGATTAGATGATTGTATTCAAAAAAGAAAACTCCCAACTGGGCAAAGCCACTCTTCCCAGTTGGGAGGTAACGGCACTCGTCTAGACTTTACTTTCCACACCTGCTTACGTTGTTTACTCAACAACTAGTACTTCTCAGGGCTCTTGTGCTGCTCCTTGGTGGAGTTGTTATCTGTGATTGCCACTTCTATCAAAGCAGCTTTCTGCTCCTTGCCAACCAGCACAGTGTCTGGCTTCTCAGCGCTGGTCTTAGCCTCGTCAGGTATTTTGCCCCACAGATGATGCATCATCACTGGAGTGTGGGATACCCAGGTACTTGTGCCTATCCTGCTACACTATATTGTGAAAAGTATTAGCTCATCTGCCCTCACACACATGAAATTGAGTGATGTCCCATCCTTAATTCATAGTGTTTAATATGATGTGGGAATTTTGACCAAAGGTCAGGCACGGACACTGACCTGAAAAGGTCTGGCTCGCACTCTCCACTCGAATTCATCCCAAACATGTTCTTTTGGGTTGAGGTCAGGACTCTGTCCTGGCCAATCAGGTTCCTCCACATCTTTGTTTTTAGACTTTGTGCACTGTTGTGCAGTCCTGTTGGAACAGGAAGGTTTGTTAGGGGTGTGAAATTGCCCAAAATCTCTCGGTGTGGTGAAGTATTAAGAGTTTGACTGCAGCTAAGAGGCTGAGCCCGAGTCCTGTTTACCTCTAACACGCTGATCTTGAATCTGAAATGTCTGTAGTGACGGACTCTCAGAAAGTTGCACACTGTGCATTCAAGCGTCTGCTGACCCTGCTCTGTGATTTTCATGAATCATGGAGTGCTGTTACCTTTTTGTACCTATGGATCATGTTTGTTTTCTGCTCATGTTTACTTCTTTACACTGATTGTTAATGCTTTCCTGTGGAGGGCAGATCTCGAGTGTGTTGGACCTCTTTTATCCACGAATTTCTAGAGAAAGGAGGAGACCCCTGGTGTCCTTCCTGAGATGGATAGCAGGCTTCCAAATATTGAGAATCAGTAAATATATCATGATGAGCAGGTGCCTTGGTAACATATTGTACAGGACCACCTGATTGTGAACACTGTCCCGTTAGGACTGATCTTTTCGTGTTGGGACAGCACTTGCAGAAGAAACGGACTGCTCTGGTAACAGCGATCCTTCATGGATGTCCGGCAGGATTTGCAAATGAATCTCAGAAACTTTTCAGAATCTTTACAATGACCGGGGAAGGTAGCAAATACCCGACTGTGCCATTTGCAGGTTTTACCCTTTTATATCACTTTATATCTGCAATTGTTACATTTTTAATGGCATATTTTAAACTTAATAAATGGATAAAAAAACGTATAGAAGTATGAAGTTACGTTGTCATAGGAATCATCCAAACTTTGGATCATATCACCTTCAGGCAAATTGAAGACTTTGGACGTGACCCAGGGTTTGAAAATATAAAAAATATCCACATAATGATTATTTTCCAAGTTATAATTAGTGTTTGTAGAATTGTGTTGACTGTCTACTGATATTTTTGTTTTTGTGTGAAGATTTGTCATATTTGCTCAATCCAGCATGAAATCTGGAAGCGAATCATTCACAGCTTGTTGTATACGTTCAACGTTTGCTCCATGAAATTGTAATGCAAATAAGTTTGAGCAGAAAGCCCTCGTTGATTGGAGATCTGTGTCTTATTGAGACGGGCACGTGAACAGTGTTACTCTTACAGTGTTTACAGCCCAACGGCCGCCGCCGTCGTCTTTCTGTGGTTTTAACACCTTAGTTAGTTGAGCGTGTGATCGGGGGTTGAGGGCTTGGGTGGATGGTTTCTAATGGTTTTCAGGAATTGTTCCTCCTCCACTTGTGTTCTGTTGTTTGCTCGGGGCAGTGGTGGTGATGGATGCTTCCTGTGCATCTGTCCGACCTGAACGTTATTTCTTTCCTCTTGTATGAACTTTCTCTTTCTTTGCCTGTCGATCTCTTGACCCACTAAACTCATTCCTGTCTGTACTCACTGTGGCACTTTCCCTTCTCCTCTCAGGGAATATCGACCGTGGGCGAAGCTTATCCTTCCACGAGGTTTGTGGCCAGCGCGAGGTGGAGATGAGGGCCGCAGCCGAGGAGTCCTCCAACAGCAGCAGTAGTGTAGGAGGTGGCGGCAGCACAGTCCTGCAGCGTCTCTTACAGGAACAAATGAACCGGAATTATGTGCTCCAGCAACAACAAGGTGGAGGAGGAAGCGGTGGAACAGGAGGCGGAGGAGGATACTCGGTGCAGGGACAGGTTGGGCCATCTGATGATCATTCCATGAGCCCCCACATTGCCCGGCAGGAGCCACAGGGACAGGAGTTACAGACAGACAGCGGCCTGGAGAAGCTGGGCTCCTCCAGAGCCGGAGGCGGAGGTGGGAGTGGTGGAGGGGGAGGGGGAGGAGGTAGTAGCGGAGGAGGGAGCAGCCAAGGACAGTGTCCGAACTCCGAAGACCTCCCTACATATGAAGAGGCCAAAGTGCAGTCGCAATATTTTCGGGGCCACGCCCCCCCTCCTCCACAGCAGAATAACCAGGCCCCGCCTCCTCTACAAGCGCCTGTGGGCGCCGCCTTCTATGTCACAGGGGTGAGCAGCGCCAAGGTGCGCACTGAGGGGCGCCCCACGGTGCAGCGAGTTAGCGGCATGGGGAAGGTCCACCAGGACGACGGGCTCAAGGACCTGAAGCAAGGACACGTTCGGTCGCTTAGCGAGCGACTTATGCAGCTCTCATTGGCCACCAGTGGCGTGAAAGCTCACGCTCCTGTCACTAGCGCCCCACTTTCTCCCCAGCTGCCCCCTCCAGGGCCAGCTGGTGACTTATACAAGACGCAGCATCGCGGCCCACCTCCTGACTACCCGTTCAAAGGTATGGGTTCTCCCACCAAGCAGCAGGAGGCGGGAGGCCATTTTTACCAGGAGCAAAGAGGAAGGGAACACTCGAGGGAAGTGCCTCATGTCCGATACCAACCCCCACCAGAGTACGGCTCGTTCAGGTAAGGAGCACGCCCTCACGCCGTTATAGGAAAATACGAATGAGCTGCAACTTTCAGCACACTTGTGTTCAGTAGGCTGGAAAACAGACTTCTACAGTAGTTACTT